TTTTCATCATCTGTCATGATATATTTAAAACAATTAGGATGATACTTTTGTCATTACAATTGTTTTGTGATGACAACGAATATTTGTAGACACTTTCGTCATACTCGTTGTCACTTTCGTAATACTCGTTGTAGAAGAAACTTTGTAATCGCAGATACAACTATAGTACAGTACGCTGTTGAACAATGCTGGTGTCAGACGCCTTCGAATAACACAGGCGCTGATAGTACTTGCTTGATAATACTCGCTCGAATAGTAATCTGTATAGTGATCCGAATTAAATGAAATCGACTGGAATTCGGACTCGGCTCTCCGATTCCCCAATCCGAGCCGCACTCCATTACTCCACAGTGCCTCCATTTTAACTACATAATATATAATTATACACATTACATTTCTGATTACTTATATTGGTTTTTGTACTCAACGTTTCAGCCGTTATATCTTTCGGTTTTCATCAGGTATCTATTATCGGACTTGGTAAACTTCTTACAATTTTATTCGGTCCAGTGGGTAGATTTTTCTCATTTCGATGTCGATGCTTTCATATCAGTTAATACGCACTATTATTCAGGTTTGGGTTGGATGTTTCAGCACTACCTTACTCAGAGATTGAACTCACAACATCCAGGAAGTCAGATATATTTTAGCAAACGTTTTATTTCACCAGTTCATTTGTCTTTTAAGAGTTTATTCACTGTGTCTGGAATTCCTGATAAAACTTGCACTCTAGTTCATTGAAAGAAACAGATAAGCGACACTATGGTGAATAAATCTGGTGAGTATTAACTGGTATGATTTATCTACCTATAAGCATGGAAAGCGGAAAGAGAACTATTTACCGTCATGAATTGAATAAAGGTATCGGTTCGAATTCAGATAATTTTACTGAGTATGACGATAGGCAACTGAATAAAGGCGAAGGATACAATGGATGAAACGTTTTATAAAAACCAAGCTGAGTATGTTGGGATGAATAGTAAGGTGTATAGTAAAGGTCGTCTTACCAACTTCAACATAAGTTTTATTAAATACCGTTGGCGAATTTAATATAATAAAATACATATTGAACAAAACAAGACGATGGGAAACATTATGAATACATTTTTAAGTCGCAATATCAATAAACATTTTAAAAAATAATATGCTAATAATTTTATCTTCTTTCATATTATTATTTGGTCTCACTGGGCGTTAACGTGAGGATGTAATCTCTACGGAATTTATTTGATAAAATCAATGAATCAGTCTGTATACAGTTCTTGTGCAATACAAGTGTTATATAATTGATAATTTCTTAAGTAATAACATAGATAGATAGATAAATATGAGATAACGATATACTAATTTTCATACATCAAGAACAGCATTGGTGAAAAAAAATGTATAACAAAGTGGAAAAGGTTTTTGTATGACGCGTTTCGCTCTTTAGGAATTCATCAAACTAAAGGATGAATTCCTAAAAGACGAAACGCGTCACGCGAAAACTTTTTCCACTCTGACATATATATATATATATATATATAACGCTTCGTACAATAGTCGCAACGGAGGTTTTACACTCGGTTAGCACCTAAAAAAGGAAAACTGTTAGAATATTGGAAAAATGGAATAAAAAAAAAACAAATTTTTATCTGCCTATCCTATTCAGTAAAAAGTATATATGCAAAAAAAGCTTTCTGCCCATATATATATATATATATATATATATATATATATATATATATATATATATATATATATATATATATATGTGTGTGTGTGTGTTTGTGTGTGTCCGATAAAGTTCGAAAGGACGATTCGCGTTACGAGGAAGACCAAACATATTTTCCACTGTTATTAATTTTCCTAAATCTAAGCATACTGACAGTAACATCTGTATGGAGATAAAGATGGTATTATTTCTAATGAATTACTGGATTTATTTTAAATACCACAATATGTAAATATTATTTTTAGTAGATATACGTGTTTGAAGTAGACCCCCCGTTTTTATTTTTGTTTTTTAAATAGTGTTTATTGCGTCTACTGGCCTACGCATTCTTGAAAACCTAATAAATAAAATCTCCTCTTTCAAGTGGGTTCAAAAAGACTTCCTAATTTTTATTCAGTTTTTTTGAGTGTGCAGACAGATAGTCGCAATACATTAAAAAAAAATAGTGACGTTTACTTTCAAATACTAAAAATAACATTTCAAGTAAATAGAATTATTTAAAACATTGATTCTCAGATAAAAAAATGTCTCAAGAAGCCAAAATGTTTGCATACAAGCTTTACCCAGAAAATAAAACTATATTTTGAAGAGAATGCTGCTCCTTTAAAATTTCGTGAGTATAATTTATCCTTAAAGGTAAATTATGAGCCCCGCTTGTTTCTATTTATTTATCTCCCCCCCCACCAGATACATATAAAGACAGAGTGATATATAAACCCGTAGAGAAATGGAATTTTTAAAATACAGTGCTTCAGTTGTTCCTAAACTTTTTTTGACATGCCCACCTAAGCATCCTGATACCCCAAACCACTGTGACATAATTCTTATTATTTAAAAAGAGAACTCTTATTCAGGTGGAGGGGGACCAAAAAGCCATTAACTTGGTCTAAACAAGCTTCAAAAGAAGAGCCATGTCTGCCCAGACCTCACTTGGCTGCCTTAATAGAGTTCAAAAGCATCTCCGCGCCCTTGTTGGAGAAGAATTATTTTCCACCCTCCAACCTCTCTCTCTCACAGGCGGGATGCAGCGAGTCTCTCACTGCTCTATCGCTACTTCTATGGAAAGTGCTCAGACGAACGAGATTCCCCTGGTTCCGTCAGGTCTAACCTTCAGGACTAGGACCTGAAATGCCACTTACATATTATCAAACCACCCACGTTTCCTCCGTATTCCATCGGTGAGAACCAAGTTCCACTTGAACGGCTTCTCCCCGCGAACCACTGCTATGTACAAAAACTCCCAAGTGATCACTACAATCTTAACCTGTTCAAGTTATGGATAATCGTTATCTCCCCTCCTATCCATATGAACTATCCCTTAACGTAATCCTCTATCTCGAGTGGCACCCGGGCCTTGTACAGGGTGAAATTCCCTGTAAAAATAACATACCGTATATTTACCGAAGATTGGTTTGTATATTTTTCAGACGTATCCAGCTGAAATGTTGTGAGTATGGTAATGATAATGATAATATTAGCCGTTTCCTTATAAGGAAACATTCGGCTTTCATTGACCGAACAGCCAGTGTTGCTGTTTTTTGAAATGTATATTTATATACTTTTCAGGAAAATTGGTTTTTCAAGACCACTAATTGTTATCGCTCTTATCCAGTATTCATGGGGGCTTCCTTACTTGCTTTTTGTTTAGGGTAGTGTGAAACATCGGTATTTTGATTGGTATAGTAGCTGACGTACCTGTTCTGGGTATTTACATATATAGCAATATATATATATATATATATATATATATAGCATAATGAGAACCACGTATACTTTCTTAATATGTATATATAGAAAAAGTTGCAAATTAAAAAAATAATAATGTCACGTGACGTCCGCATCTCGCGACGGACGCTACTTGTAAACAAACAGTTATTTCTGAAGAAAGATTGAGGCCAATCTGAAATATCAAATATATAGAAAAATAAATAAATACTTTCATAAAAGAACATTATTATTTTTTTAATTTGCAACTTTTTCTATATATATATATATATATATATATATTCAATTTATGGATTCCGCTCATTTTTATGATTTCTACTAACATAGACTCACTGGATGTTGTTTCGTTTTGTTTTATTTTTATTTTTATGATTTATACTAACACAGACAGACTAGAAAAATCTCTGTTAATAACTCATTCTAGAATTGCCCCCTTCGAAATCGAATTGCCCCTCTGTGGGACGTGCACCCAACGTTGGGAAACACGACGCTACTGTGTGTTGTTTTTTTTTTTTGTTTTTTTAGCAGTCATCACAACTATGGTATTAGATGTCCCACCTAAACATAGAAAAAACTTTATTCTATGCAGAACTAAAAAAAAAATTCTATTCGAAAGCACAAAAGTTTCATGACAACAGTGAAAAATGTATGCTTCTTTGTGTGCAATTTCTCTGGCATTTGCCTCGATTCCATAATAGTAATTCGAACATACGTGCTTTTTGCCTATGCATGTGCGTAGATGTATCTATGTATGTACATCAAAAGAGCGACAGCCAGCTTTATTTTTACAGACGGAATATTTCTTGTTATCAATAATCTGGTTTTTATTGATGTTAAGTTTGTTTTCGATGTTGTTTCGTTTTGTTTTCTTCAGATATAGAAAACAAGTTTGTGCTCAAAACTAATCAAACGTGGCAAGAATTGCAAACTGAAAGAAATTTGCCTCACAATACATATTCTGGTTTCTCTTTGTTGATTTATCTTAATATCTGCCGTATTTTCTCAGATACATGTATAGCAATATATATATATATATATATATGTATGTATATATATATGTAAAGATAGATAGATAGATAGATAGATAGATAGATAGATAGATAGATAGATAGATAGATGTGTGTGTACGTGTTTATTGCCTCGAAACTCTTACAGAGCATATTCGTTATTTTGCATCAGTTTATGAATGAATGAATGAATGAATGAATGAATGTGTATTGCATATTTCTATGAATGAATCTATTTGTGCGTCTATATCCAGATCGTCACAAATCATATAAGTAAATGATAAATGAATAGAATATATTTTCTTTGTTTTTTTCTTTTCTCACTATTTCTTCGTGGAAAAACAGATTTAAGCAGTTGGCGCCTAGCTCCAAAGGCTTTGTCTTTATTGCAAAAATAATCATAAAAATCACAGAACATAAATATCAATGGATTTTCAATATAAATGCATATACAGCCGATCCAGAAATTCGTACACTTTCCTACAATTCATAAAAGATAATGGTTCATTGTTCGTATATACTTGATAAATAAAGACACAGATATTATTTAAGGCTTACGGCCATATGACGTTGGAGCACTAGATCTCGTAAGGTCACCGAAGTTAAGCAAAGTTGAGTCTAATCAGTATCTAGATGGGTGACCGCTTGGGAATACCAGATGCTGTAAGCTTGGATGTGCGGCTGGTGTAATAGATGCAGGCTCGGAATTGTTAACCGAAGAATCGAGTTCCAATTCCCGTTTGGTTTGTTATATTTACTTACACGTATGTATCCTTGCGAAATTTATGGATTCCGCTCTTCTACTCACAGCTATGGGTTAATTAGTAAGACTTGTGTCGCTAAACAGTTTTTATCTCTCAATAATTATTACAATCCAAAAATAAATAATTTATGGCTTTATATAACCTGCAAAGGGTTAATAAACCGTAAAAAATGAAGCAATCAATCAAAAATATTATTTAAATCGATTTTTAACCGATATAATTTCTCATTATTTCTTAGGATTTCTTAGGATTTTTTAGTTCTTATTATTTCTTATGATTTCTTGTTCCTTATGATTTCTTCTTATTTCTTATTTCTTTTTTACTATTATTTATTACGATTTCTTATGATTTCCTATTTCTTATGATTTATTATTTCTTATGATTTATTAATATTTTTATGATTTCTTATTATTACTTATTATTTTTTTATGATTTTTATTATTTCTTATTTCTTATCATTTCTTATCATTTCTTACGATTTCTTATGATTTTTAATTATTTCTTATGATTTCTAATTATTTCTTATGATTTCTTATTATTTATTATGATTTCTTATCATTTCTTACAATTTCTTATTATTTCTTATTATTTCTTATGATTTATTATTAGTTCTTATTATTTCTTATCATTTCTTACGATTTCTTATTTCTCGTGATTTCTTATTATTTCTTATCATTTCCTATAATTTCTTATTCTTATGATTTCCTATAATTTCTTATTTCTTTATACTCACACAAACACAGACACAGACACACACACACACACACATATATATATATATACATATATATATATATATATATATATATATATATATATATATATATAAGAAATGATATATATATATATATATGTGTGTGTGTGTGTGTAAAACTGCTATTCTGTGCTACACGAAACAATCCTTATTATTAGGAACCCGTTTTCATCAATTTGCTTTATCCAAACTTATTGAAATGATAAAGAAATTACAAGTTTCTCCCTTAACGTAATTTCTTTCTTAAAAGATCTCATTGAAGAAAACGGATAAAAATTAAATCCCAGTTTTATTTAATAAAATGTCCATTGCACGAGTTAATAAAACTACAAAGATGAACACAATATTTCCCGAAATTAATCTATCATTAATGTTTCTTAGTAATCGTTTATATCAGTTCCATGTTTGTTTCAAAGGATCCAATGCATTAAAGTTATTCTGATTACAAATCCCAACTTCTCAATTCAATTCACTTCAATAATAGTTTATCATCGTACAATTAGTTTAAGTAACTTCTGCGCTTCATCTACTTATTAATTATCACGAAGATAATTCGTGTTTATCAATATTACGAAGTATACAAAGATTTCCTACTGCTAATAAGTTTGATTTTAATCTGAAAATATTGTTGAATATCAAAAACATTGTTTGTCGCATTCAGAACGTCTTTAATCTTAATTCCAATTCCATGAGAATCCTGCTCAAAAGTCACAGTTAAAAAGTTCAGAGGAAAAAGTCACAGGAAAAGTGAAACAGGACAATGTTAGCATTGGTTCTGCGTCTTTCTTTAAAAGACGTTTTTTTAAACCCTAACACTTAAACGTAACTCTAGTATCCATAACTTTAACCCTAATCCACACCCTGAAGACCTCGTGAATAGTGTAAATCTTGGATATCATTGCTGTTGTGGATCAAAAATACTTGGATTTAGTGAAAAATACATTTTAATGAAAATTAATTATTACGCCTCTCGCTATGGAAATTGTTTAAAAGTCTGCTAAAATTGGTTCGCGTATACTAAACATATCACTCACAAAACCAAATAGTGACTGTTTTCCTAGCCAAAATTGTGACTTTTCCTGTGACTTTATTATCGGCCACGTTCCATGATGCGTGTATTCCGATTTATCTTCTAATTTCTTTCTAGAAAGATATCCGTTTTTTCAAATAAAGTATTTTTTAAAATACTTTATTTGAAAAAAAAAGCCTGTTGCTTAAACCACTTGATTTTAGTAAAATCAGCCAGCACTTGAGACAATTTTACCCAAATAATTCTGTAGTAAAACTGTAGAATAGTGGCTTGAAATCTTTCTCATAAACTGTCCATTAAAATAAATTAAAAAAACTGTAGGTAATATATCCTAAACTATAATTGATCTAAAACGAAAAAATTTATCACAGAAAATCAAATACATAAGTAACACTGCAACCATTGTAAAGTTTTCCAACACAGATTTTCATAATAATCCAACATTTAAATCCGCTTCAGTTGTATAATCAATATTAGATTAAGTTAGGAAATACCATTTCGTTGTCTGTTTTTATTCATTACTTTTGTAACTGTGATTTTTCAATTTGAATTTATATAAACTAACAGACAAAGTACGGATACATTTACTCATATCAGAATTTGCCAGAAATCCAAGTAAACTATTTCAGCTTAGCTTTGTTTTTAGCGGGATATTGATAAATATTTTTTTACTGTAGTTATTTTCTTGAAAATTAAATTTAGTTTTTCGAATTTTCATTTTTTTTTCATTTTTTATGTGTGTAAATCATTCAGCTATTTTTATGTGTATAATGCATTCAATTATTTTTATGCGTATAAAGCACTGAACTATTTTTATGCGTATCAAAAAGTTAGAGTTTCTGCATGAAAACTTTTGTAATTCAATCTTAAGAATGAAGAAAAAATTTCAAACGAGTTATTTCTACCAGTAAATGTTGAAAATGCCGTAGACAGAACATGTGAGAAACGAGGAAGTTTTAATGGGAATATGAATTTCAATGAAACTCGTACTTATAATAAGAGAGTGATATATGAAATTTCAGGGAAACGTAATGAGGAAAGAAGGCAGGAAGTATTCAACATTCACAGAGGAAAAAAAAAACGGAAAAACATCAAGTAACCTGCTGAACAACGAGTTTGTAAATGGATGACAGAACAGGGACAAAAATGGATTGGAAAGCTTCATAAGTTACTTAGAACAACAAAAGTTAGGAAATATTGGAGAGCTATGATCGACCATGTCCTGCAATGACATGACACATCAAAGAAAATTAATATATTCATTTGCGTCTTGGAGTCCATTTACTGCTACTAGCCATACATATTTCTCGTTCATGTCAGTCATTGCCAGAATTGAGAAAAGCCAACAAAACAGAAAGTATTTCCAATAGTTTTGTATATCCATGTTTGTGTGTCTGCCTGTCTGTCTTTGCGTGTATCTGTCTACATGTTCTCATTGATAACCAAATGACAATAATCCAAGGCAAACTTTAAAAAGTACATTTCTACAGATATGAATTTATATACCCTCTTTTTCAGAATACTTTCATGGTAATTGTTCTGGTGAACTCTTCGCTATGGTAACTTTGGGGCACTTATTATGACATGGCATTAAATCCGGATAACCTTATTTTCTTCAATTTCTTTTTAGAATAGACAATGGGACTTATACTAAGTTAAAACTTAAAACTTAATGTTGCGAAAGGGTAAATGCAAGTGCCATCCTGGACTCTTTGCAAATTACCTCCCCCTCTCATTGTTCCCTGTTTTTGTTGTTGTTGTATGTGTTATATGTAATAGGAATAGGTAGGCTTTCCTACCGCCCTTCTCTTCGACATGAGTAGAGGCTTACGCCTTGTTTCTTGTTTAGGAAGGGGGTTCCGGTACTCTCTCTCTCTCTCTCTCTCTCTCTCTCTCTCTCTCTCTCTCTCTCTCTCTCACCGGCCTCTGTATCTCCAGTTGCCTTGATCTATCCACTACCCTTCTCCTCATCCTTTCTTCTATCACTCCTATCTGATCTTGCTCCAAATTTTCTGTAACCCCTTGCGTCCTAGTGGCTTTCCGCCTTGCTTGGGGTGAAACGCTTAAAAAAAAAAGTACTAGATTTGCAAGCATTCATCAAGTTACAGTTTAATTGGTTAGATATAACTGTAAATACTACGCTAACAGTTTATTTTCTCGCACTTCTCGTTTGTGGAATATTATTCCGTCTCCATGATCTTCATAAATGTAAATGCAATGTCAATCGTTATCTACTGTCTTCTTGGTCACACTTGTATTGTTCTAGTTCCTTACCAATGTTTCTGTTTTCTAATTCTTTCATCACCCCTGTGTCAGTGGCTTTATTGACTTCACTTGTAGTGAATTCGATTAAAAAATGAGCTAGTCAATCATTACACAAAAGAAAAATGAATGGTTTTAGTCTTTCAATAAAGGAATCTCTGATAATCTGCCGGTGAGAGAAGAACGACTACATCCTCTTAACTGTTATTTTCTGCTTCTTCCGGGGAAAGAAGGCAAGCAACGCTCTTTAGTTTCAAATTAAAAAAAGACTGCCTTTAATAATCCACTCTACTGGAGAAATAAACCCATATCATTTTAAATCTTAAAATGATATTTTCCATTTGCCTAGTAGTTGGAGTCTCCTACTGGGAAGAGAATTACGTATTTCACTATTGCTTAAAACACTGCTAATTTTAAACTGTCGATTTCCTTTCGCTTTTCTCTAGACTCACAAAAACTTGAATAGTCTTTTATGATTTGGCACGATTTCAGCCAATCAAAGTGCCACACAGATCAAAATCCCCAGGGTCTTTTTCAAGGAGCTGTCAGACTTCGCTTACATTTTAAACCCAAAAGGAATGATGACCGAACCCCTCCAGTCTCCCAGTTCCTGCATATATGCAGAAAAAAAAACTCTTCTAATTTCAGGGTTTTGCCCTACCCTACTTGCAGAAATGAACTCATGTTGATTATATTCTTTAGAATTTGCTATCTTAGATCATTCGCTCTTAATTTCTTCCATATTTCGTTCTATCTGTGATACATTTATAGTTTCTGATGTATTTTTCACAGTGTCATATTCGGAGTTTTTCTTATAAAGACTGGCCTTCTACCATTAATACCAATCAATATTTTCTG